GAAGTTACCAACCACAAAGATTGAGCCCTTTGAAGTTCGAGTAGCCAATGGTGAGAGGCTGCGATGCACCGAGTCATTTCGTGAGGTGCTGATCAAGTTCCAAGGGGTTACTGTGAAGGCCGATCTCTATGCCTTACCCCTGGTCGGACTTGACGTTGTTCTAGGAGTGCGATGGCTCAAAGGTTTAGGATAGGTGACCACCGACTACTGAACTGGGATCATTGAGTTCAAATCGGGAGGACAACACGTCACTCTGAAGTCCGGTAATGATCAAGGTACCAAGGAGGTTGGATTGAAGAGTATTGAAAGAGTTTGGCAAGGTGGCGGCCAAATATTTGCAGTAGTGGTCGAAAATAGGAGTGCGCGCACGAATGAGGCCGAGCAACAGCAGGGCGAGGTGCGCGAACTACTCGAGGAATTCGAAGGCGTACTGGGTGAGCCCAACGGACTACCCCCGCACTGGGAGTTCGACCACCGCATACCTCTTGTCAACGAGTAGTATGCAGTGCACGTTCATCCCTATAGGTACGCTCACTTTCAAAAAACTGAGATCGAAAGGCAAGTAGCTGAGATGTTAGAGTCTGGGTTAATTCAACATAGTTCGAGCCCATTTTCATCACCAGTCCTGTTAGCTAAGAAGAAGGATGGCACATGGAGGTTTTGTACCGACTAGCGGGCGTTGAATACCACAACTATTAAAGACCGGTTTTCTATTCCGAGTGTTGCCGACATGCTCGATGAATTGGCAGGATCACGCTATTTCTCGAAGCTCGACCTGAGAGCTGGCTATCATCATATCCGACTCCACAAGGCCAACATTCTGAAGACAGCTTTTCGTACACATCAGGGGCACTATGAGTATTTGGTGATGCCATTCGGGCTGTGCAACGCCCCATCTACCTTCCAATTTGCTATGAATTCCATCATCAAGGAGCATCTACGTAACTTTGTTCTAGTCTTCTTTGATGATATCCTGGTTTATTCAAAGTCGTGGGCCAAACATATTGAGCATTTGAGAGTGGTGCTCGGAGTCTTGGAGGCTAACTCGTTCCACATCAAGCAGTCCAAGTGTTCGTTCGGGCAGAAGATGGTCGAGTACCTAGGCCATTTTATATCCTATGATGGCGTGAAGGTTGATCCACGGAATATAGAGGCCATGGTCGACTGTCCTAAGCCAACGAGTCTCACGCAACTCCGAGGATTCCTAGGGCTCACAAGTTACTATCTAAAGTTCGTGAAGGATTATGGGACCATCGCCAAGCCACTAACTGAGATGACCAAGAAAGGCGGGATCAAATGGACCGAGGCTAGCAAGGAGGCATTCGAGAAGCTGAAGGGCGCCATGACCACAACGCCCGTGCTCGCAATGCCAAGGTTTGATGTCTTGTTTGAGGTACACACATATGCGAGCGACATGGGAATTGGAGTCGTGCTAGTACAGGAAGGACGAACCTTAGCCTTTTTCAGCAAGACGGTAGGAACGACTCGACTTGGGCTGTCTGTGTACGTAAAAGAGATGCTAGCCGAGCTCGCGGCTATCACCGGACCAACATGGGCCGTTTGGGAGGAAGTTCGGAAGGCGAAAGAGGAGGATACTTATTGCCAGGAGCTGCGCCGAGAGATCGAGGCAGGAGACACTACCACTGCTGATTACGAGCTGCACACTGGCCTACTACTCCACCGAGGTCGAGTATTTGTTCCCGACAGTGGGCAGCTACGTGAAAAGATCATGCAGCACTTCCACGATTCTAAAATTGGAGGGAACTCGGGGAGTTTACCGCACGTGGATGAGGATGGTCAATACCTTCTTTTGGCCGGGACAGCAGAGCACGGTCCGAGAATATGTCGCCCGGTGCGATGAGTGCCAACGCACCAAGGCCGATGCAAGGAAATCGAGTGGGCTGCTCCAACCACTATCGGTACCCGAGGCAATTTGGGAAGACATCACGATGGACTTCATTGAAGGACTACCGAGTTCAAATGGGTTCAATGGTGTTATGATCGTGGTGGACTGACTTACCAAGTATGCTCATTTCATACCCATTACCCATCCTTATACGGCAAAATCTATCTGTAACGCCCCGTTCGTTCATGAATAAATGAATTATCACTATTATTATTATTATTATTATTATTATTATTATTATTATTATTATTATTATTATTATTATTATTATTATTATTATTATTGTTAATTGTCAAATTGCCAAATTGTATTATTTACCTTATTATTATATAAATAAATATTATATGTGTTTTATAGATATATAAGTATATTATCCGGTTAATTTATTTTGTCGTCGCGTAAGTACCGAGCCATTTATTAGTCGATCCGGAGATCAACCATGCGTCAAACCCGCGCTCAAGACTACAAGAACCGGCCTCTCGAGTTTCTTGGTTGGCAAGAAATATAAACCTAAGTTTAATCAAGATCAAATTTTGGGATGATTTGATTCTCTACCAATATCCTAAATTTCCCTTAATCCGCCCGAATTTACGTATCAAGTTTTCTCATTTCAAATTTCAAGTGGGAATCAATGAAGGCTAAATTAGTTTGTTAAGTAGGCTATCAATTAATTTGCCACCCAATCCTCTTCTTCAGCAAAGTTTTGCTAATTGATTTAATTCCCATAAATTCCTTTGATGTTCTCTTTGATTTTGGAAATAAATATTAAAGCCTTCCCATGATATACTTCCACACATCTTGTATTTCCCCCTTATCACGCAAACCGGTACAATATTTTATCTCCTCCATAATCCATTTTGGTGAAGAACTGGCAGAAGCAAAGAAAGAAAGCCGCCATACCTCTCGTTATGCACCTCTCGGCAACTAGTAGCAGGCCACGCCGGACCAACAGTATCCCATCGCCGCCACTCCTTGGCCTTCGGCCGTCGTGAAGGTTCGAGAGCTACCGTGCAATTCTACTCCTCCGTGGGTCCACGTCCAGCACCTCTCACGGCCAGCAACTCCAGGCGAGCGGTCCTCCTCTCACAAGCAGGCCGTCTTCGGTCGTGTGCAGCACTCCAACAGACCATTTCCGTCGACCTCGAGCCGCTGCTCCGCCATCCTCGCACCTTCAGGCCATCGCGAGCGCCTTCGCTAGCCACCGAGGCCGCATCACCGTCGTCCCAGTCCGCTATTTGTATCGTCCTGGTCCCACCCTAAGGGCTGAAACGCCTCTCTTTCCGTTGGTGTGGGACTTCATAGCCGTGATGCATCGTAATAGTTCGAGTGTCGGGTCGAACTCGGAGACCTTCAGCCTTGAAGGTTTCATGTCGGATATAGATCGGAAGAAAAGAAAGGAGTTTGAGGATTTCAAACCCTCTCATCTAAGTGACATTAGGAGATGCGTCCAAGAAGTGTACGACCTGTGGTACACCTTGCTTATAGATGAAAACCCCATTGTCGATCACGAAGACGGTGTAGACAAGCTTGCTCAAATCCTACCCCAACCGTGGAAGAGTGTGGTTGTGGGAATGCGTGATGAGCACCGGAGGAGGAAACCACTTGCTTTTCTGGATCACCCTCCCTTAAACATGTTTGAAGTGGTCGCTCACCTTGGCAGGAAATGGGAACGTAAGGAGGTACCATTGGAAACGAACTTCAGATTGTACCCCGCCTCTGAAAGCACCGTATCCAGCCCTAACCCCGTCTCCTCCTCAGCGGAGTACGGTAATGGGTGGGTTTCCTAGGTATCGTTCGATGATATGCGTATTTTCATCTATATGCTTAGATTAATATAGTTATATGTTGAACTGAGACGTTATTTGGATATAAATAAAATAGATCCTTAGGGTTTAATGTGAAACCCTTGTGATCTGTTACAAAATCGTGGTTGGCTCTTGGATTTTTGGAACATTTGAAATCTTTGGCCTTATGGTGAAGTCCTTAGATGTTTTTTGTTGAGTATTTGATCACTTATGCATTTTTGAATCGGGTATTGCTGCTGAATCTTGGAAAAATCATTATAAATTGTGTATTCGTCCGATCGCTGTGAAATTTCGACTGTATGACCCTCATATGATGTTATATGTTGTGTAAACATTTCAAGTCGAAATAATGTCTGTAGCTATGTCAAATGTCGATTTGAAATTCTGGGCTGAAACTTCAAAAAATCATTAAAAATCGAATTATTGGTATTTTGCTGTGATTTTTGGTGAGTGTAGGTAATCTGATGTTATGTGTGTTGTATCCAAATTTCGTTAAAAAGTTCAAAGGATTGCTTGGTGAACTAGAAAATTCAGATTTGCATCGCCTTTTTGTAAAAATTGGTTGCCCAGGTTAAACTTAAGTGTTGGATCTGAAACTTTGTGAAAATGTGTATTTTTGGGTCTATTTTGATGTATAAAAATTTTAAGTCAATCGGTCGAGTGCATTTTAAAAACGGTCAGGTCCTATTTTGCGTCTCTCCATGCTTGATGTAGAATCGAGTAGAAATGTTCCATAACTCCTCGAGAACTTCCCACGAGCCACTTAGTCGACGAGTCTTGACTAAGTTTGTGTGTTTGTCGGAATTGATTGTAATCGAGAGGCTATCTTGATTTTGTGTAGGTGTTTTGAGGTGTTGACCTCACCGCTTACTCGAGCCTCGCTTTATGTTTGTTGCTGCTACCAGGTGGGTTCTAATCTAAAATTGTCTATGCCATACGTGTTGTTTAAATGTTTAGTTGGTATGACCAATGTATGAATGTGAACCATGTGGCCTACTGATGTGAGCTGTTACGGCCGTCGGTACGGTTGTCCCCGTCGAGTTACGGTACGGTTGCCCTTGCGAGGCAAGTCTCCTTAAGACCTAATGAAAGGCCGTGTCCGTTACAGTGGCACGCACTCCCGTTGTTAGGGTTTATGCATCCCCTTTCCGCGGCTAATGATAGATGTGCACATGAGTGAGTTATTGTTGTTAGGAGATGAGACATGATGATGATTGATTTATATTCATGCTGCGACCATACCATCTTTACATTGTTATTATGTGCATAGTAGTGAGCACTACTTTATCATTTGTGCTCATTCCCACCTGCTCTTCACGGATGCAGGTTAAGCAGTGGCCGGATGACGGGATGATGGACGAGTGCTGGTCATTTATGTGTTGTTGCTTCTGTTTTAATAATGTGGTCTTTATGAACCCTAATCATGTTTTCGAACTATGTTTGATGATGGGAATAATTTGGTAATCACTTTTGAACTTTGGATAATTATGGTGATTGATTTGGGAGTTCCTTTGAGGTGTGTATCAGGTTAATGAAAACCTTGTGAAAATCGGGTTTATGAATCCCCGTGAGTCCAGACACGACTTGGACTAGTTAAATTGTGATAGTTAACACCCATTAAATTTTCGAAAATGAGTTGAACATTTTATACTGGTTTTTGAAAAATCCGAAATTTCTTTAAAATCAAGTGGGGTGTTACACTATCGCCAAGCTTTTCGTTGACTATGTGATGAAGCTGCACGCAGCGCCACGATCTTTCCTTTCCGACCGAGACCGGATCTTTATGAGCAGCTTTTGGTCCAAATTCTTCAAACTGCAAGGGACCGAGCTGTCAATGAGCTCAGCTTATCACCCACAGACAGATGGACAAACTGAGGTAACTAACTGAACTCTGAGCAGTATTTGAGGTGCTATGTCCATCAATTTCTGAAGAAGTGGGAAAATTTTCTGCCCTGGGCTGAGTATTGTTACAATACCACTTACCATGAGTCGACCAAAATGATGCCATTCGAGTTGGTATACGGGATCTTTGGATTTCCTCCATTTGAAATTTGATGCAAACCACCGACACTAATCAATTATTCGGACGGAGGCGCGGTCATTGATGAGGTAGGACGAGAACTTGAGGAAAGAGATTTGATGTTGCGAGAGTTAAAGAAAAATCTCGGGGGATCAATCAATGTTGCGAGAGTTAAAGAAAAATCTCGGGGGATCAATCAACCGCACGAAAGCCTTTGCGGATGGGAAACGGCGAGAGGAGAATTTTACGCCAGGCGAATTTGTCTACTTGAAGCTGCAACTATTCAGGCAGCGCACAACAGCACAAAGAGTGGCGACTAAGCTAAGGTACGCTACTATGGGCCTTATCAGATTCTGAAGCGCATAGGTACTTAGTATTTGTTTGCTTATATTTTTATGTAGCTTGAGGAGCCAACTACCAGCACAACACTTACATATTTTCCAAAGCAGAACAGGTGGGGTCCCATACTGGGTATTACATTGAGTATAATAGCTAGATCATGACAAAGGTATGTATATAAGTCCGCTTATGGGTTGAAGCCGAGTAGTTCTCCCCTAAGTTATGGTGGTGGCACGAGTTTGCCCTAATATTCCACTAGAGTTTGCACACGGTTACCGGCCAGAGTGTCCAGAATATTACAAATTCAGTTACCGGCCAGAGTGTCCGGGACCGGCCAAATTGTCTGGGAGATTTAAGTTTACTTATATACCTGCGATCATGATATTGATATTATTATTGATTTTTACTTTAGTACGGGTTCTCACGGAGCATGGTGATTTAGTGCTCACACTCCATTATTAATTGTTTTTCAGATGACAGGGTCAGCGGGGAGGTGTGAGCTCCGATGTGGTAGTGCTGGTCGTGGATTTGGCCGAGCTTTCCTATTTGTGGACTTTTAATAAATTGTATGTATAACTGTGCCACGCTTTTAAGACTTCTGCTACGTTTTTCAGTTTCGGACTTGCATGTCTTTATTTTCAGACTTTAATAATTTATCTGGTTCGCAATTATGAACGCGTCTAGTTTTACATGCTTGTTCAATTAAGTATTTTAAATCTGTTTTTCTTATGTCTAAACCAGTCATTAGACCGAGTTTGGAGAAAACAAATTTTCAAAGCAGTTAAGTCTTAGCAGCATCCCGGGTTAAGTTGCAAACGATTTCGAAAAATTATAAGCGTTTTCGAAACAAATGTTGCAAAATTTTTTTTACTCTGATGTAAGTAGAAGCGAGGTGTTGCAGTTGGTATCAGAGCAAGTTTTTGTGTTCTGGATACTTTAGCGAGTCAAAACTTTCAGAAAAAACCCGACCACACCACACTCACACCTCGACGACTACCAGGTAAGTGCTGTTAAGAGTTTTTATAAGCAAATTTACTAAGTTTATGCTCATTAGGATTCAGATATCCGAACTCTACAAAAAAAAATTGATGCTTAGATCAGTAATAGAGATTCCTTTAGCAGTATCAGATCTATCCTCTTATCAAGAGTCAGAACTCTAGTTCGAACTCTAGATAGAACTCTAGACTAAACGAGATGACTTTTTCGCGACTTGTGAAGAGATTTCTAAAATATTGAGTAGCAAAAGTCTTATCAAATATGCTTCTCAAACCCTCTTCTATCAAAATTGTCCATTTTTCCACCCAGATGGCACATTCCACCGAGAAATTTCTTGACCTAGATCAGGGAATTGACTCGAATATTCTAAGTTATGTCACTAGCCTATGTTTAAAGCTAAATTCAGACTCTAGAGGTTGCTTTCTTTCTTAAACCAATATCAGAACGGTTTTCAGTGTATAAGAGTCACTATGTCGGGATACCATGGCGGCTTGAAATAAGAGTCACTAGGCCGGGTATATCATGACGGCTTAAAATAAGAGTCATCATTCCGGGTAACCATGGAGGCTTGAAATAAGAGCCACCTAGCTGGGTATACCATGGAGGCTTGTAGCCGGACCGAATCAGTATAGTTTTAGAAAGTAACAACCTTTAGAGTCAGTAAGTCGGGTATCTTACCAGTTAGATACTCTGAACATTAATTGGCAAAGTTCGAGATCAGTTATTTTGTGTAGTACTTGCAGGACCAGTTGATGCTGGAATAGCCTTAAAGAGTACCTAGTCAGAAGCCAATGTTCATAAGTTTAAGATCGGCAAATAATAGTTACTAGCCGGGAAAAATATGGAGACCTAAAATACAGGTCATTAGTCCAAAATTTACCTAGAAACTTGAAGTCAGACCTTATCAGACAACAGTAAGACAGTAAGCATCACATTCCAGACACCGAGAAGACCAGTTAAATGCCTCGGGAGAACTTCTAGAGGCCAAGTAAGAGCCATCTGGACATGTGAAAGTTGAGGATGGTCTTTCTAATAAGACAAGACTCATAAGTTCCTCACGAGTGTACCCAATGCTTTGATTCTCGAACCTAGAGTTTTGAGAAGTCGTTGGAAAGATTATTTTACGATAGACTTTCTTGAGGTTAGCTTAGCCTCAGGGAAGATGGAAGACGAGCACTACCGGATTCAGCGTGTCGCCGTATGGAACATCTTTTTGTTCATGACGGAGAAGATCTTTCAACAGTAGCCGATAGGACCGTGGAGACAAGCCGGAGACTTGCATAGGAGAATGCACGTTGTGTGAAGAAAAGGAAGAGAGAAGGAAGCAACATCTGAGTCATAGTACGCCAGGAGATCA